GAGTAGGTATGAAGTTAAGATGGGATGCGACACAAGAGGATACCATTAATAGGAGAGTTGCCATAGCTAAAGTAAGCTACAGATAAAGCAAAAGCCCAGAGATGAAAAAAGGGGGAGCGAAATGACCCGGAAACGATGCAATGAAAGTGTGTATGCTTGGAAGCAGTTTAGCATTTAACTCGGCAGGGAGGCCTATGGTGCGTTGAGGCTGGTAGTGGCTAGATCCTGACAGATGGTCTACCCACTGCTACTACTGTTGTGTCATGGCCTCATTTCTTAGACATCTCGTGGCGATCGATGGGTGGGAGTTGGGTTACGCTCTCAAGGATACCAATGTGCATGAGTCTGTCATGTGCTAGACCCGCTGCCTCTCAAATGTGCACATTAAACCGAAGGCTTTGGCAGAGAACCCGAGTCGTTCTCCTGACAAGTGTGGGCGCCCTGCTACTATCCTACTCCATCCTCTTCGGAGGTTAGGAAGTGGTCGATGGCCCACTTCCCGTAAAATCCAGCCATGAGTAACAACAGGTCTACGGGGTATAAGTTCACAGCTCGATTGGCGTAGAGTACGAGAGCCACGCATTGTCTCTGGCGGTGGATGGGCACCTCCGAGAGTTCAATGGTTTGTTACTAACCGCCTCAAGCCAGGCTGCCCCTGGCCAAATTGGTGCAAACCCACCTGCGTCTCGACGTGGTCGCAGGTGAGAATCCTACTACGGCCGCAAAACCTATATGAATCGTTCCAGTGCCTCAAAGGTTGCGTGTGACGGCCGTCAAACAGATCCCAATCTATCTCTGCAATCACCTTCCCGAGCTGGATCTGCTTCCCACTATATTGTGGGTCAGGCTATTGAGCAAAAGGCTCCGGGCGGTGTCCCTCAAACAAACCTCCGAAGCACAACCGCCACTTCGTGTGCGATTGCCCACCAATGCAATCGTATGCTTGCGCGCAAAGCACTCAGCATCGGGTGCTGGAACGTGCGCACTACTGGACCGGAACTCGAGTGAGCGTCACGAGCGACATACTGCACTGGTCGCGATGGGACTGGCGCGTTACTATACCGAAATCGCGGCGCTCAGTGAAACCCGGCTCACTGAGCAAGGTAAGTTGCATGAAGCTGTTGCTGGCTACACGTCCTAGTGGGTGGGCAACGGCACCTCAGTACCACGTAAACATGGGGTCGGCTTCGCAATATCCGATCGCCTCCATGGCCAGCTGGTGGGTGAACCAACAGGCAGCAGGATGCGACTGATGACTGTTCGCCTATGACTCGGAAGAGGTAAGTTTGCCACTTTTATAAGCACGTACGGTTCGACCATGTCCTATCCTGATGACACGCGTGATCAATTCTACACTCAGCTATCCTCCGTGATACGGTCTGTGCCGAGGAGTGACCGACTATTTCTTAAGGGTGATTTCAGCGCACGTCTTGGGCATGATGCATCGGTGTGGACAGATGTTATCGGTTCGAATGGCATGCGTTTAGCAAATGCGAAAGGTAACAAGCTGCTCTCATTGTGTGCTACTCACGGCCTGACGAGCACGAACACTCGGTTTGCACTGAGTGCGAGTGATACAGCAGCTTGGACGCACCCGCGGAATGGTCACGCTCATCTGCTCGACTATGTCATTGTACGTCAGCGTGATATGCGTGAAGTGCGCATGACACGTGTACTGCGTGGATCTGAGTGTGACACTGGTCATAAATTGGTGCGGACGAAACTGTCCACATACCTTCAATCCCGCCGTGATTCAGCGTATATTTAACATTCTCTCCCTCGGTACTGTGGCGAAACGCATTGGCTGCATGCTTGTGTGCTGTGGACTGCATAGCCGCAGTGTGCGACCAGATGACAGCTGCTACCGAGGAGACTATCGGGCGAGCAAACTGTAAGCGGCCTCATTGCTTTGATGAAAACAATGCGACGATCGGCGCATTGGTGTATGAGAAGAATGCAGCATTTGCTGCATATGTGGCAGACTCCAGTGACTTCGGGTAAAAGGGTCAGTTTCGCAAACTTCGAAGGCGGCCGACCCGAGAGCACCGTCGCATTAAAAATGCATAGTGGACGGAGTAGGCGAAGCAGATGGATTGCCACGCCGAACGCTGCCAACACAAGGAATACTTCGACTTCGTGAAGGCGGTGTATGGATCGAGATTAGAGCCACCGATCGATGGTAGTTCAGGCGGTACCTGCACACAGACTGCAGACATAACGCAGATCTGACAAAAACACTTCGACTGTCTCTTGAACAACCGTTCAGAGATCGACTGGCCTACATTGAACGGCCTGAAACAGCACAATGTGAAGGCAAGTTAGCCGGATACGCCGACACTGGATGAGACGCAGAGAGCACTTGCTCAGCACCACTTGCACCACTTGGTGCAACGCGTATGGATTGAGGAGGAGGTGCCTCCTGAGCTGAAGGATGCCCTTGCGTTATTACTTTACAAGAGCAAAGGGAGCATGCAATGTTGCACGAATTAGCGTGACATCAACTTGCTGAGTTGTGTGGGCAAGGTGATTGCACGAATTCTGCTCAATCGCCTCGTCAGTCAGGTTATGTAACCTAACGTGGCGGAAGAGCAGTGTGGGTTCCGTTCGGGTCGCAGCACTTTAGATATGGTGTTTGGGGCTTGTCAGTTGCAGGAGAAGTGCAGAGAACGACATCAGATGTTGTACTCGCTTTTTGTTGGTTGCACCAAGGCATTTGATACGGTGAACCGCGAAGCATTGTGGCTGGAGTTGGGTACGTTTGGTTGTCCGCGTAAGTTCAATTGAATGTCTACACAGCGGTATGCGGGCGAGGCTGCAGAGGAGTGGACAGACCTTGGATGACCTTGCAATTGTCACTGGTGTGAAGGAAGACTGTGTCTTAGCTCCTGCCCTGTTTAATATATATCTTCATGCTATGATGTCTTGTGCATACGATGTTCGTGTGGATCAGTGTATTGATGGTGGGTTGCTGAACATCCGTCGCTTCGGTGCGAGAACCTTAGTCTGTGAGACAACTATCCGTAGGTTGCTGTTGGCTGACGATTGTGCGTTATTTGCACACAGCGCGGATGAGTTGCAGCACATGACTAGTGCTCTGGCTTCGACAGTAATCAAATTCGGTCTCACCATCAACACAAGCAAAACTGTCTGTCTCTTTCAACCTTCACCGGAGGTGCAATCTTCAATACTGCCGCAAAGCAACATTGGTGCTGAAGTATTAGAAACCACCTCCAGCTTCTGCTATCTTGGGAGTGTGATGTCGACTGACCAGCAGCTTCACAGTGAGTTTCGTATCCGCGTGTCGAAGGCAGCGACGGCATTCGGGAAGCTTGAGTACCGAGTGTGGAACAGCAAATCCATGGTGCTGTCGATTCTTCCATACGGCAACGAAACGTGGACGACATACCCGCGAGATGTGAGATATCCCGATCGGTTCTATCAACAGTGTCTGCGACAGATTCTGCGCATCGGTTGGTGCGACAGAGTTACGGACACAGAAATGTTGCGCCGAAGTGGAATGTATGCAGTGGGGTGCATACTTTTTCTGAGACACCAGAGGTGGCTCGGTCATGTGAGCCGTATGGATTCGACGCGGATACCGAAACAACTATTATATGGTCAGCCGAGTATTGGGAAACGGCATGTGGGGAAACCGATGTTACGTTACCAGAACATGATCAAAGGGAGCCTCTCAAGTTCTAATCATGATTGCAGGTCACGGGAATCGAATCGGCGTGAATGGCGCGATCTAATCACGAAGGCAGTTGCTGAAGTGCGGGAGAAAGACCTCATGCATGCACAGAAGAAGCGGCAAACACCGATGGCTTGTACTCCATCGACAGGGAGTGCATGGTGCTGTAGTATATGCAGTTGCAAGTGCCTGAGTCAGGCAGGCCTAGTGAGCCATGAGCGAGGCCACTCGGGGCCAACGCCGAAGTGACGACGGGTCCTGCAGAGAACGTAGACAGAAGTGGCGTAGCGTTTGTAGGTACGCTGCATTCGATTTACTAACCGCTTGCTTGCATGATGGGACGCATTATTTCAAGTGGTGGGTTTTGTTATATTGTCCTAATGCATTTTTTAGATCATATTAATGAGTACCTGTACTATCTACTATAAACTTGCACATGTCGCTTAAGCTAGCTGTAGTTGACTTCGATAACATTTTCGCGGTTGTGGCATTTTCTTAAGATATATTTTCTGACGAATTGAACCTTTCGCCGATTTTTTGCAACTAATTTATTTCACACGCTCATTTAGTGAAGTTTTGTCACCGTATTCATATACACTATTTGATTTATTTTATTTGACCACATCGTTACGTGATTGGCTGTTTCTTGATATCCGCGGTGTGGATGCGCTTGATGTGCATGTTGACAAGGTGCCTACCTGTCTATTACCCACTATCTCGTCCATACTGGCTCTAGGAGACAGTTGGTCGTTGTTGGAGGGGACGGGGTGCATGGTTCTTGGGGCCGCACTAGGCTCGAAGAGCGGTTTCATGCACTCAGTGTGGAGCGGTCTATGGTCCAGCCACCGCCTTGTGTGCGCTTGATTTCCCAGCTACAGCGTGCTTGTGTTTGCCTGTGAAGGAGTGTGGGCCGGCTCCGTTGGTAAAACGTGGCTCCCATCCACATGCCTCCCGGTCTTATTCCTTCGGGTTTACACTGGATATGGGGTGTGTGATTGGAGCTGTGGTTGGTGCAGCGCAAGCCACCCATAGTCCCTCTGTAGGCGCAGGCGTCCTGTGGCTTGCCACAGTGACAGGCAAATCCGAAACCGGATGCCGCCAACCATATAGTATTCAACTCGATTTCAGGGGTTACCACGGTACAACGAGAAAACGATGGGAGAACTAGCGAACAACCACCTCAGATTTAATGACTGGAAACGTTGTAGGGTGGTAAAACCAAAGGCGAGAAAAGCGCCGAATAGCACTTCATTGTAAAAAAAGGCTGCCGGGAGATTTAGGTGCATCTGGAAACAGGAAAGCCGATCTTACTAAATGTCTCTTATGCCGGCATTCGATCTCACATGGTGGTACGCATTGCAACGAAAATTGCACATAATAATTCCAAACACAGTGCAAAAGTTCAAATCAAGGGGGTGGCCATAATACCCGCATTCTATCCGAAAAGGGCAGAGAGAAGTCCAATTGAGACAAGTAAGTGACTAATTACAGATTAGCAGGGTGGTATCCCGCTGAGTACAGGTCGATGCATACAGGGACAATAAAAAACAAAGCATGTGCTGAGCCGCAAGTCAATAAACCAAAGTCATCCGATCTCGCAACGAGTTAAATACACGATCGGAAGCAAGTGGGGCGCAAATTGTACACGGAGAAGTTGGGGGGCAGACAAGGAGAAGAATAAGAATACGGCACATGAGAAGAAGATTGCCAAGCGGGGCGAAGACAGAACACTTAATCATAATGATGAGTCGAGTCCTAAAACAAGAGAAATGCTGAAACGAGAAGAAAACAAACACGATAAGCCTTATTCATAGTAAACCATATTAAATTAAAGATTTAAGTGTTTGGTTAGAGTCAGTTGTATAAATAAATCCACGATAATTCGAGATGGGCAAACGATGTTGAAAGGTCGCAAATGATATAGTTTTTCCAGCGTGTTACACCCAAGTGAAAGTTAAAAAAACCATGGAAAAATTAAAGTATGTAGTACAGTTAAATACGCAAGTAATGTATACAGGTGCTTAGGAAATCTGAAGACAGCAAACCTATCGGAAGGTAGACCAAAGAATAGACCAATGAGTGGCGTAAGCGTAACACGCAATTGCGACACACAGACAGTATGATGAACGACTGAATGCCATAGATCTGTCTGGATTTCTAAGCTAGCGGTTCAAGCGACAAATCTGATAGCTTAGCTGGAGCACCTACAGAATATGGCTCGCGACCGGCATCAATGGCATACTTGTTGTCATCTGGCAGTGTTGATTGTGACATAAAGCAAGGGAAGATGCAACCGAACTGTTATGCGAATGTTGATGTCTATGCGCTTGTGACTGTGTTACGTTGGAAAAAGGTTATTGCCAGAATCCCAAATGTATATTGGTCTTACACCAGGTTCCTTTTTGCTCCAGTCAACATTATGGCTATGCGTCAACGAAGAAAAACAACCACGGGTGTGCAGCTATAGACGATGATTATGATTGCGCGCGACCAGCAAATCATCTTCATCAACAAAGGCAGTACATTAGGCATTTGAACTGATACTTCGCTGCCTTACAACCACAATGACCTACTGAACGAACAATAATAAGAGGGAGAGAAGGGGGATTTACCGTAAAGCTGAAGAACCTAAACAAACATTGGGGATTAAGGCGCCTACACTTTGTCAACAACATACCATCAAAAACAGCTGGCTATTGTGCAATAATAAGGTGGCATCGACGAGACACCTTTCTTGCGGTTTTCATTCCCCGCGTTATAATCAGCCACCACCCCGCAGACAACTCAGCAAGAAATACACTGTAAACAGGCAGTCCGGCTAAGAGACGACATCAGACATGCCACTAGTGTCCGCCACCAGCCATGTTCTGCAAAAACTCTCCAGCCGAGCACAAGGCGGATCATGTAGACTCCAGCCTAGAAGCCGAGAAAGGCCGACGGCACCGAGTTTTGTCGTCAGTGATTTCCTTTCTTTCTGCCAAGTTAACTTTCACCTACCTCCGGGCATGCGCCGCCCTACATCCGTCAAACAAAAACGACACCCTCCACAGTAAACGGTGACCAGAAATAGGTAATACGTGGACAATCCAACACAACTTATCCAGTTCTATGGAACTAGCCTGGTAATCACTACCTAGTACTTGCTTAAGCACACTGTCGCAGGGGTCAAGCTAGTGCCACCCGACGCCAGCAATGCTTCGTCGGTCATGTAAGCCTACCAAGATCCACTGCGCATCGAACTTTCTCTCTGTTGTCCTGATGACACAGAGCTTCAGTGGAATAGGATCTCAGCCACCATGCACCACACAGAAGACTCCGCACGCGGCACTACCAACTGTCAGCACACCAGTCACTAGATATCCGAGAAGTCGGTGAACCTATTGGGGTGCAGAAAACTCCCGGTTGGCTCTGAGCACAATGTAACTAGGCGGACTACCAGTCGCGAACTAAAGCGGAGCCTGTGTGCTGACAAAGAAGCCTAGTGTACCAGTGGGGCCCAAATAATAGAGGAAGCGGGAGCAGTAGGCAATCATCACAAGCTCTTCTGGCTGACCCGCATCACTGGTTACAAAAACCAGGCGTCAGTGAAATAATCAGAGACAACGTAGGTGCCCTGATTCACAATGAGTGCCTGGTGGTTTGTTGCGCGGAGCACTTTCGGGAGCAGTTCAGTCGTCCCCCTGCTTCCAGAACTTTGCCTACTCAGGTGTTGCAGGCTGATCCATGGGCAGTTAGTTTAGAGACTCCATCAGGCTGAGGTCCGAAATGTAATTGCAGCCCGCAATCGTTTTTGTACTGCTGGCCCGAATTCGCTTCCACTTGCATTATTTAAGGATGGTGGTGAGGTCCTCTGCAAAGCACTGACCTCCCTATTCGAACAGGTATAGAAGGCAGAGGACATCCCAACTAACTGGAGTGAATCAATTATTGTGGTGATATGCAAGAAGCGCAGCCGCGTCGACTATGCTAACCACAAAGGTACCAGCTTAACGCCAGTTGTGACAAAATTACTGGACTTAATTCTTGTTCGTCACCACACTGTGGAGCGAGAATCACAGATTAGAGAAGAGCAGGCAGGCTTCCGCCCAGAACGGGGCTGTGTGGACCACATACTCACTCAGCGTCAGGTGTTAGAGCAGCGCCACACGTACCGCAGACCGTCAATAGGTGTTCTTCGATTTCAAGAGTGGGTTCGACTCAGTCGACCGATGCATTCTGTTCGAAATGCTTGCGCGGAAAGGTGTTCCCATGAAGTATGTGAACATTTGGCGTGCTCTATACTCGAACACGACATGGCGCGTTAGGTTCTACGGTGACTTGTCGAATGTCCCGGACAACAAGCGGGTTTTCCAATTCCCTGTTTTTGTTGAACTTCGTCCTGGATCGCATCATGGAGTGTTCCTTTGCGGAGTCTCACAATGTAGGCGTTGAAGCGCTGCCTGGTGAAAGGTTAGTTGATCTTGATTGTGCGGACGTATTGTCCTGCGTGTTAAAAATGTACGGGCGGCGCAATGGACATCGAATAACCTCTCTAGAGTGATCCTATCATTTGGCATGCGCTTCGCCCCTTCAAAGTGCAAAATACTGTTACAGGACAGCCAGTCACTTGATGGCGAGAAACTCGAGGTGGTTGATCACTTCACGTATCTTGGCAGCTGCATCGTCAGCGACGAGTGCATAACGGTTAAAGTCAGTTCACGCATTGCAAAAGCTAAAACTTTGTGAATCTGTGAGGTCAGAAAGGATTTTCCCTGCATCTAAAAGGCCGTGCATACAAGATCTCAGCGAGGACCGTCCTACCCTATGGGAGTGGGACTTGGCCCGTCCGACTTGATGACCTGCTGGGCCTACAAATCTTTGATCACTGTTGTGTACGAAGCATTGCTGGTGTCAGGTGGCACTAGCGTGACCCCTGCGACAATGTGCTTAAGCAAGTACCAGGTAGTGATTACCAGGCTAATTCTATAGAACTGGATAAGTTGTGTTGCATTGTCCACGTACTACCTATTTCTGGTCACCGTGTTGTTTTTGTTTGACGGAGGTAGGGTGGTGCATGCCCGGAGGTAGGAAATCACTGACGACAAAAATCGGTGCCGTCGGCCCGTCTTGGCTTCTAGGCTGGAGTCTACATTATCCGCCTTGTGCTCGGCTGGAGACTTTGAAGGACATGGCTCGCAGTCGATACAAGTAGCGTGTCTGCTAGTCAAACTGCCTGTATGAAATGTGTTTGGTGCTGAGTTAACTGCACGGTGATGGCGGATTATGACGCAGGGCAATGAAAGCCGCAAGGAAGCTGTCTCGTCAATGCCGTCTTACCTTTGCAAGATAGCCAGATGTTTGTGATGGCATATTGCTGACAAGGTGTAGGTGCCTTTACGTTGAATGCTTGTTCAGGGCAATAAGGTTTTCCGCTAAGTCCCCTTTCTCTACCTCGTATTATTTACCGTTTTGTAGGTCGTTATGACTATATGGCAGCGAAGTATTAATTCAAATGGCTGACGTACTGCTGTTCATGGTGATGACAATGCTAATGTCTAAAAGAACAGCCGCTGTGGCCTATGCGAGTAAATCAAGGAAGCCATTCTGAAGGCTATAGGCGTCGATTTGAAACATTTTCCTAGGCGGTTTCCAGGTCGTAAGTAAGCGCCCAACAGGAGCGCACATAACACCGGGGAAAATCAAAATACTCACTGCGTTGTTTATATAAGCGAACTCTGTCGGGAGAAATGCTAAGTGGTAACCACTAGCAACACTGCATCCGTCAAGCAGTGATAACAGCCATGTGACTCGAACCATGGACGCCGGCCTAAGTCGCCGGATCTGTTTTGTCATCAATAGCCACAAGTGGCATGCTTTGTAGTTGTTAATGAGGGTGACATGCTTGAACGTCACTGGGGCGTTAAAAACCGACTCACGTTTCTCAGAACCAGGTTTTGGTAAAAAAAACTATTCAGTGCCTGGTAACCTCCGATACGGAAGGCAGTGGAGACAATGTAGTCTAGCCAGCAAACCAACGGTCAGCACGATGTGAGCTACTCGAAAGGTACATCGAAAGAGCCATCCAGTGTAACCTAACTGAGCATGAGATAGAGAAAGCCATTGCACTACTCCAGAGTCCAGTCCCGTGACGGTCAGAGGAGCCGCAATGTCATTACGACGGTAACGTGCTCGACGATTATGCTAATGATCCAAGCAGAAAGGGGGTAGAAAATTTGATATCTCTAGGTGAGACAGAATAAAGAATGCTTAAGCGCTAAGAGATTTGTACGATACTTCTGATAATTGATCAAGATAAGTGAAACCAGTGGCTGGACAGCGATAAGTGAACCAACAAAGAGGCGGGATTGCTGGTGGAACAAACGTCGAAACGCACACATATGACGAACACTGACAAAGCAATCAACAAGCGTTCAATCTGAATGGACAGGTATGAACCAGAGTGTGACTGTTTCAACTTCAGCTTAAATCCACACAAATGTAATCAACATACAGGGTACCGGTAAAGTGGATCGAAAGCAATCGATATCGCTGGTGACAACAAAGCAGATGAAGAGATCACATGCATGATGGCTGCCCGAAAAAAAGTTGCGTCTTGTGGGAAAGCAAAAAGTTCAAAGAGAAGCCGAAGAGAAAAATATACTCGGTGGACGCTTCGAGAAGATAAAAGTCCAGCATGCACCAATGATTTCACACTGATTACATTGTTCATCAACTGTCTGGAAACCGATTGCATCAGGGTTAAACCATAAATATGCCTCAATCTACAAGCTACTTTTACCACATGGGTAGGTTCACCATCAACAACAGATTCAGGTGATGACTTCAGATTTTGAGATGGGATGAGAAACTTGCGTGGAACGAGAGAGCTTTCGTAGCGTAATCAAATATATATCGGAAGACTTTATAAGGTTGCGAAAACCGAGATGACCTCAAGGATACAACAAAAATCGATCCCATATGCAAAGTCAACAACGCACAGCCGTACTGGAAATGGAACTGCTAAAGGAAGCTGACATTCCAGCGCTATTATATTGGCATGTTCTCAACTAGGCGAGACACGACCCAGCTAAATTGGCCCGATCTAAGGTACAAAAGAAATGCAAACTGGACTGCTATAGCTTACAATACCGCGACAAAATTCGATGAGACGATAAAGAGAAAAGTCCCAACCATTCGAATCCGTTCTGCGTATAAGGAACAAACAGGAAGATCACCGGAAACATGCAGCTAACTCGCGTTTCCATTACGCGCACACATGCGGTTTGCCGGATACCAAAGCGAAAGGGTGCCCTTGATTATCGGGATAGGTACAACTGAAGGGAACCAAGACGGCAAGATAAGGTAGCGCGGTCGCATCTGCTAACTCTAAAAAATACCCAGCTAGAGGTTGAAACCGTTAGTTGGATTCATGCAAATGTGGGTGGACTTACCGGACAGAATAGCAATAAGAACGGATCAGGTGAAATGTTCGGATAGTGAAATCAGCCCGTCCGGTACGGCGTTGGAATCCATCCCGTACTGCTCAATGGCTTGCGCTGCCGCCTCGGCCGCAGCCCCGGGTGGACCAGCGGATACGTTGAACGCACCCGGCAAATCGTTGCCCACCGCCGCATCTGCTTTAGTGGGCGCATTGTTGCGGGCCATTGCGGCCTGTCGGGCTGCTCGATCACTAGGGCTCATGAGAGCATCGCCAAACATTTGACTGACACGTCCGCGTGGTTTCAGCTCTAAATACTGTGATGTGGGAAAAAGAGGAACACGTAACGCAAAATCGAACAAGGCAGCATGTTGAATAGCAGATAAATTCCAAAAAAGGTGTAGACTCAAGCATCGAAAACCGAAGCATATCGCCGCTAACGTATGTATCCCTGATGTAGAGTAGAAGATGGGAAAACAGGGACCTAAGCGAATCATAGGTGGATTGCATTGCCTTATAAATCCAGTAGTGTGTGTGATGAACCTAAGTCACACAAGTCATAGATATCTTCACTAAGTTCAATCACAAGTCCTGTATGATTCACACAACCTAGGGAATAATCATGTTGTCATAGCATTCGCTGATGAAGATCGCATCCATGCAAGTGAACGCAATGCAAATACTGGACGAGCTATCGAGATAGCAACCGGAAGAGAATACAGACTACATTGACCGATAGAATGCAGGGCGGTTCAACAAATCTTATCGCCTCAGACAGTGCTCACAATTAATGACGTGTATGATATTGAGCGTCCGAAAGAGTCACTAAAGTCAGCTTCGGTGGTTCTGGAGTTAAGCTCTCTAAAAAAACAAACAGGGAGACATGAACAAGTATCCAAGAATTTCGGTTGTGGAAGTTGATGCACTCAAACGCACGGAGGGAATCATGATTATAATGACAACGAAGATGAAATCCTAGATCTGATATGTTTATGGAAAGATACGGCAACATTGGGTTATTGAAAGTAAAGTCAGTGCAATGACCCAGTTATGTTTCCAAGTAATCGACGAACTGGAGTGACCTTTCAAGGTAGGTGACTCATATTAGATTAACGCAATAAAAACAACGGAATCATGTTGCGCATAATACTTCGAGAAACAACCGAAAAGGAATGCGTTCAGTGCTAGCACGCTACATGTAATACACATCCGACATTGTGACTGACGATTGTGATGCGAAGCGAGTTATCAGATGAACGCACAGGGAAAGTTCCCAGCTGTCGGTGCCCCAACGGACACAAGAGAGGAAACGAAGACGACGTATAGATGGTACACGATCTCTGAGCCCAGACTACCCCTTATTAACTATCTCGTGGTTCCATGGTAGTGACAGACTGGTACAAAGTGCTCATGTATTGTCATTGACGAAAAGAAAAAATCAGCCCACTCCACTTACATTACCCTCCTCATCTCGATGTTTCTCGTGAAACTTGATGTGTACATTGAGATTTGATTTCTTGTTGAATCTTTTCTGACAAATATGGCATTCGAAGGGTTGTTCACCCAGATGAATCCGTAAATGTTCATTATAGTACGCTGCCTTTGTGAAGCGTTTGTTGCAATACTCACATTCGAAGCGGGCCTCTTTGTGTATTAACATGTGCATCCCAATTTGGGTGACAATCTGGTGAAATAAAGCGAGAAGCAAGCAAAATAAGGAATGGGAGCACATCGAAGGGGTCAAAATAGTGACACAGTGGAAAATGCCATGGGAACCATGAAAAAAGAACGAAACAAGGTTGATGAATTCGACACAATCATTGTCAATTCACTTTAGACGATCAATGGTTAAGAGATGACAAACTCGTGGACTTAAGAGTAGAAAGGAGGATGTCGCTAAACTACCCTCAGTCGAGGGCAACGAGACAAATCGAGCCTAGCGGTGAAGCATGCAAATCAAATTGAGATTCTAAAATAGTCTAAAACAGTAAAAATGAGAGAACTTTTATTGAATTTCCAGTGTAAATCAGAAAAGGGGTTATTGCAGGAAAGCCGGCGTGACACAACCACGGGCTTATTTCTCTTACTTCGCATCGTTTTCAACCCTATCGGTTTTCAACCTAGTGGTCCCGTTGTGGAACAAGCTGGCATCGTTTAACGAAATGACTTGTTGCTCAGTCGTGCAGCGTTTCCAGTGTTGGAGACTGCTAAAGTGCATGAAATTATTCCGCTTTGAATGCAATTTGTACACTGCGGTTAAGTGCCCCACTCTCCGCTCCTCATTTCCTTGTTAATACATGTAAAGCAAACGCATATAAGTTGCTTATTTACCCCGCGCTGACATCTTCCGTGGCATTAATCAGCTGATTTGCGCACAGGCTCAATCAATCCCGCAGACACATCGGAACTGATGAAGTCCGGTTAGACAAGCTCAATTGGAATCTAACATGCATTTACCAAGTGATCTAACACACTGGACCAATGAATCTGAGATCCCCCTCGTTTAAACAATCAATGGTAGGCATTTATTGGCCACTATGCATCCATTTGACCCGACCACGATGTTTGCAATCAAATTGAGACATGTTAACACCCGATTCCTGTGTTTTGCTGAAGCTGCCGTGATCAGCCAGACGAAACCGTCAATTCCAAAACGGCAAAAACAATACAGCATGATGAGTCGCAGCAGTCAAAGTAAGTTGCAAGCGCTAATTTCAATGTGGTGAAAGTAAGGAAAACAAAGCAAGCAAGAGTAGAGCAAAGATGCAGGCGGTGACTTACTTTACCGCATATTTGACATTCAAACCGCTCAGGGCCAAGCTGCAAATGTTCCACTCGAATGTGTCGCTTCATCGCCAACTTGCTCTTGAATGTTGCTTGACAATCGGTGCACTGGTAGATCCGTGTTCGGAAGTGCTTTTGGCGGTGCTGAGCGTAGCAACGCAGATTGGAGCATACTTTGTGGCAAATTTCACAGCGAACCGCGCCACTATGCATTTCTTTTACGTGGCGGCGTAATTCAGTTTCAAGCCGAAACCGCCTCTGACACATCGTGCATTCATGGGCAAGCTCCTGTGAGACAGAAACAAAAACGCCGCTGAAGGGTAAGGAATACTCAATTGCTCGGTGGATGACATGACAACTGGAAGTACCTGAACTATAAATTATTGTGACACGAGATACTACTGCAGACGGTGTCTCGAAATGAAATCGATGCAGCACAAAACAGCTAGATGGTAGCATAAATCCAACCGGAAGAACCTGTCAGTATGAAATGGTAGCGAGAGAAGTACGCTGGCATGAACAGAGCCGGTCGCATTGCCATCAGTGTATAAGTATGTAACAGCGTGGGTACTATTAATGCCAAAGCCTACCAAAGTGAACAGATATGTGAGACGATTTTTACGAGCGAGCAAGGGACACTTTGCAAAACTTGACCACAAATAACGAATGAGAAGGCACTAACCCATGTGCTGCAACCAACAATCGATGTTGATCATGAAAGTACCGAATATATCCTATAAGAGCGCAGAATTGACAGACTCTTTAAATACCAACGTAAATGTGCTCAGGCTGTGGTAATCCTGGGAGATAATGGAGTCCCTAAACTCCAAATAAAAACCGTGGGTCCCGTCATAATAAGACACGAGGTGGGTCTAGCACTGCGATAAACTTGGGTTGTGTGCGCATTTGCAGCCCCTACACTCCGGACACCTGAGACCAGTGAGAAAGCGTAAAATCGATCAAAAATGACTAGAATATTCGTAACCAGTAGATAAAAATACAACTGTCCACATCAGTTTATCAGTCATGTTCAGTATGAAAAGTGCAGCAAATCCCGTTGTTTAGAGTCAGAGAATTATGGTAACAGAAATTGAAAAACGGAAAAATGACATGAGTGGTAGAGATCTCATCAAAGGGCGATTAGAACATAAATATTAAAAAATCCAAAAGTGAGAGGCAAAGACTGACCTGATTGTGCATCCGGAAGATGTGGTAACGCAGTGAACCACGCTTTGGATAAGTCAATCCACAGTATTCACAAGTGGCTGGGCCCTGATCCTCTCCATGATGCGTGCGGATGTGGTGTAACAGGGAAGCACGTAATCTGAACGCCCGTCCACATTCGAGACAACGCTGGGAGTATCCTTCGTTATGCTTATCCAAATGGGTGCGCCAACAGCGCTTGTCAGAGAATCTTTCGTAGCAGTGCGTGCATTCGTACATTGCGGGGGCAAATTCATTGTGAACATCTCGTGCATGCTTTAGTAAACCTTTTGAAAAAGCCCAGAACTCACAATGTGTACAACGGAAAATAGTCTGAACTCCAGCATTAGCGAACTCACCCGATGGAGCGTGGACCTCCCCCAAATGGACCGAGAGTAGCTCCGGTTTATCGAATAACTCTGCACAAATACGACAGATCACATCGGGGTTTGCCAGAATGTCGTGTTTGGCAAGCAAGTGGCCGACATACTCTTTACCAGCAACGCGGACGACGCAGCCACAGAACTTGCACTTTATACGGCGCACACCAGCCAAAGCATAGTACAGATCGTCTCGTTCGTTGCGTTGCCTTGGGGGACGCATTTGTATCACACCATCCTGAGTGCCGGTAGTGGACCCCACAGGCGGATGAACCACACCATGTTCGGCCCACTGATGAAAATAGTAGTTGTATTTAGTGCCGTAAAAATTGGAACAGATATCACAGGTCAGTAGTTTGTGTGCTGCTGTTTTAGTCAAAGCCCCCGTCTTGTTCTGATCTCCGCCTACTGACTCTTCTTTGACGCCTGATTCTAACGTGGCGCCTTCAGGTGCTACAGAGTTGCCTGATTTAAGATGACCCTGATAGTGGATAGAGAGCTCTTCAAGTGACCTCATGACAATGTTGCACAAAATACACTGAAGATGATGAGAAGAAAAATGACAGAGAATTTTTTCATGCGATGATACTTGCGTGCCGCACATACCGCATGCGAAGGAATCCGTGGACTTGAGATCGAGTAAATCATCGTCGTCACCATCCACAACGGACGGATCAACAGGCAGAGTGCTCTCATCCGCTACACTCCCTTTCTGAGTGCGAAGAATAGGTGTTCGGACAGAAAAACTAACGCCATCACAGTAGTCAAGGTGTTGAGTAAGAACATCGGCATTCAAGAAATAATCCCCACACTTTTCGCACTGAGGTGCTTCCATTCGACCGACCAAAACTCCAATGCTAAAAACTTGTGCCAGCCCTGCGAGAAGACCACTGCCAGGAGCCGACTCTGCGTCATTGGGATCCTCTTCTTCACCTTCCTCTTGATCACTACCTGACTCCGGGGCAACTATTGAGCTTATGCGAGGGAGGGCAGCAGCCAGAGCAGCTGAACGGGCGGTAGTGTGCATCTCGTTCATATGCGCCTGCCATTGTCGACGATCCAAGAAACTAGTGTTATGTGCCATACAACGAAACCTTGACAGACCAATGTGTCGCATTTCGTGGTCCAACAAACCATTCGGAGACCGTAACTCTTTGGAACAAAGGCAACAAACGCCCCAATGTTCAGGGAGGGGGACAGGTGCGGGAGGAGGAGCATGAGGATTGGCTGCTGCCTCAGCGTACGCAGCAGCCTCAGCAGCTTCAATGTGTTGGCGAGCCAGGAGCTCTGGCATGTGCTTCTGACCTAGACGAAACATTATGTCGTAAAGGCTAACCTGTATGGGAAGGTCAAAAATTTGATCCACCAGGTATCTAGAAAACGCAGCAACCACGCCACTCTGTTTTTGACTTTCATAACGTGGATAAAAGTAGGCCGGTAACACAGTAGAGCTGTTGGTTTCATCGTTTACGATTCGGACACTGGCTGTGAAAGACTCTGCGCTTCCAACTACTGATTGAGCACACAAAGACGGTCGTTGGGCGTGTGGAAAAATTGACTCATGGCGAGCGGGCGATATCTCTAGAACGCGCCGAACCATACGTTGATCATCAATTTGGAGACCGTAAAGCAAACCACCAATCGTAACCAATCGATAATCAGCCGTGGTCGGTTGAAAAGCTGACTCAATAGCCTTTAGTTCCATGGAAGTAAGATGATCAAACTGCTTGCTCGCCACTTCTCCCAAAGGATGAACATTGGGTTCAGAGCTCGTCAACTGAAGAGCTAGGCGAACCGGAGAATCATAAACAATCGCCAATGGAACTCGACGAATGCGATCGAGTACAACGAACTTTGTGCACTGCATTATCGGAACCGACCCCATTAAAGCGTCTGTCTTTTTGGTATTCAGCAAACTAGTAGTAGCACCAGTTGCGCTAATTAATTCACGCAGCAAAACCTTGCGGAGTGTATCGTACAAAAGGTCAGGAACTACCAACAGAGACTGGTCCTCCAAAAGATCGTCTGGGTCAGCAACATGAACCCCATCCAAGGTGATCGGAACCTCAGGGGCGAACCCGTGCTTTTCGAATAGGAAACGACCTTCGTCAATCAGTGAGTAAACACGGAATAAATCATTTCCAACAATACTTTCATCCAGAGCAGGGTGAGCCATTGCAGCATGAGCAATCAAAAGTAGTTGATCGCGTCGTCCATTTGGTTTAAGTAAAAAGGCGTCAATGAAGTGCAGTTGACCGAGAGATGATTTGTCCGAAATAGCCGAAAATTTGCTATGAAGCTCGCTTGAAGGTGGGTTTCCAGAGACAGTATCAACCAATTCGTTAAGTACACCCATCACTTGATCCTCCAACATAACAGATCCCGTGAGGGTAGCTGAAATTTCCCCGGAAACACATCCATCTAGAGTAATCAGGTCGATTGATGGCTTCGGTCTATCATGCGGAACATGAGAAGGATCCCAATAATCCAGCAATGCAATAGCGATTATGGTGCTATCTGAATTCACGATTAACACCAAGCGTTGAAGATTAGGAGGTTCAATGGGACTTATATCGATGTCCGATTCTTCTGCATATTGATGAGCTCTGGACAAAGCTATTTCGTACACACGGTCCGGAGGAAGTGCAATCAGATCATTTAGTTTGTTGAAAACATCTGGAGGTACGATGAGCTGTTGTATATCTGGCATGAAACGACCCATGTTACCAGAGCCTGTAATCGGATTGTACTGTGCAGCAGAAACACCAAATTCATTCAGAGTTGCGTTGGTCATTGCCAGAAGTGTAGTGTCCGGGTTAAGAAGATAGGAAGGTTTGACCATCATTTCGGGATCCAGTTCGCTGACGAACCCATTCAACGCGTTTGTCACAGAAGGGATGTAATTCAAACCGAACAATGGTTGGTGAATCACAGGGACCAACAGGGCTACGCGGTGCTGTAGCTGACCAAAAGAACGAGCTACAAAAGCATGCAGCAACTCAACCACTTTGTCATAATCGTTTATGCGACTCATCAGGCTTTGGAGACTGGCAGATATGCCGAAAAACAGATTTGCATGCTGGCTACTTGGTCTGCATAAGTCAGCGATGAGACAATCCAATCTGGAGTTTAAAACATCAGACTTCAGAAAGGCAGAATACGCATCCAAATCAGCACGTGTTCGAAGAGAAGCAGCCAAGGCGCTGTATATGTTCGAGCCCCAGCTAGAGGCCGATCCAACAGCATTCCGCCGAGCAGTTCGATGAGATGCTACACGAGCTATTGCATTTGCAGTGGGACGGGTACCAGTCTGCCCGGCTGTCTGTGCACTGGTTTCTGTGGGGTGCAGTTTAAGATGATTACGTTGATCGGAAATGATACTCTGAGCATCAAAGTCGTACACATCTCTCAGTGGCCGGCTTTCATCTTCAAAGAGTGCAACCGAGGCGCCATTAGATGCATAGTCGACTTCTGCACGCTCTAATGCAAGATCGTCGTCGTCATCGTCTTCGAGTTCGGACTCAGACTCTCCAGCCTCATCCTCATCCGTCGACCCCTCGGGTTCCTGACTTGATGGTTTACTTCTTGTTTGCCTGCGAGTGCCTGCAGATACACCTCGACGCCTACCACTGGACGGCGATAGATGATCAGTAACATCCTCATCCGAAGGAGCATACTCGCTGTCGTCGTCTGCCGCATCCACGTTTTCATCATCCTGGTCGTCTTCGTCTCCAGGAAACAAGTCCGCGTAAGAATAGGATTCTTTTTCGAAGGCGTCAGCCAAGTCTGCCTCTTTAGTTGGCCTTGGGGTAGTCTTACTACCATTGGGAGCATCGACCTTGAAAGTACTCTTTCTTTTCCGTTTTCGCTTGGGCATCGCGACTGCAACTTCTTCATCCGTTGTATTCAAGACAACCGATTTTTTTCGCCTCGGACGAGAACTATGCGTTTGTGTCGCATCAGATTCCTGGATATTGTTGGATCGTCTCCCACGTTTGCGTTTTGGAGCTGTCGTTGCTTCTTCTGCGGCTAAAGTAGGCGTTGTAACTCCAGGATCTTCTTCCTTCATCGTGGGCATAGGGTCGGAAAGAGAGCGAAGAGAGGTGAATGGGGTTGCCGAAAAGTTTATTCGGAGGGCAGCGAATCAACAGCTGAAAGAGAGAAAAAGAAAAGATGTATACCGAATGCGAACAACTTTTCAATGACGTATAGAAAAGATGTTCGATTCAATCAAGCAGAATTAGTGTAATCTGAAAGACGGGTCAAGAACCGAAAGAAAGTAAAAGCAAATGGATAACGAACCGAGTGATGGGATAAATCAAAACTAGAAAGTGAATATCGGCATTTGTGTGGATGGCTACTGTGATCCAATCAGAGGGGAAGGTAAATAACAACACAGGCGTCATTCATCCAGCAATGTTATGCTGCTAGTCTGATTCAATTCATGGGACAAACCGTAAACCAAGCACTAAGATGCACCGAAATCGCTGCGTTTACCTGCATCACCGTAACAACAGTATGAAGATGACGCGAGCCGAGTGCAGTTAGGGGAGCTTAGGTGACTACAATTATACGACACAGATTGTCGTGTACACTGCGACTAACTGTGCGGAGAAAACAACTAAGAGTTTAGTTGGTTCAGGAGCTTACTTACAAAAGACGCCAAGCATTCGATTAATCAATTCCCTTGAACAATGTCTTCACGGTCCGCAGCCTAAAGGTAATAAGCTGGTCTTGTAACCTGACGGCGCAGGTCTGAGACTGCGTAGGCGAATCTCGCAGTATCCTTAGCCAAAGTGCGACCGGTGGTGGTTGCGCGGCAGCGAAGCGACGGTGCTGCGTACCGGCGGTGGTTGCGCGGCAGCGAAGAGACGGTGCTGCGTACCGGCGTATTGCTTATGCCTTTTGCGTCTTATATGCTGCATACGGCGATGTGGATATACGAAGATTTGCTACTGTTAGCGCCTCTCTTCCTTCTTTTCCACCCATTTCTCTTACGATTCTCTCGACCACCATTACTAACCCTCCAACACTCCCAGTTTAATTGATAGTAGCCATGATGTCACAAGAGCAAAACCATCAGCAGTTACCTCCCCCCTCACTCAGTGAATGGCTGCGAGCAACAGCTCCTTATAAGATCGCGATGTCCCGTTTCCTTGGCATTGTTCAATATTCACACTCTTAGACAAATAGCTCAATATGCTGTACTCGCATGCACGATGGAGATCCTGGATACTGAAGTAGGCTGCGTGTCCCTCAAGTGATTGTTGAATTAACTGCACCCGACTTATCCTCTCGCTATTGGTCATACGCATCCGGAGACGCTGATGCGGCGATCCCTGGTCAAGCTGAGATGATCTGCAAGGCTGTCATTGTCGGTTGTTTAGGTTCCAGTGGGCATCCGCGTGTGTGTAGTCCGTTTGGTGACATCAGCTAGGGCAAATTTGCGAAGCAATACCAGAAAGTGTGCGCTTGTGGCTGCCCCTTACACCATCACCGGCTGTAGTTCTGTTACCAAGGAAGCAACCTACCACAAACTTAACACATTGTTTCGCAGCATTACCAGTTCTGTTAGAAAGGCTGCCTCTGAACGAAATTCATCCCTTTTGTTGATATTTCTATTTATTAACTATATTTCCCCCAATTTCAGCCCGGCACTGATCCTATCCTAGAATGACACTTTCTATTCCACTATACTAGGCTCAATTTTTCCGGACTTTTTTAATACCTAGAGTTGTGTTTTCTATTAGTTTGTTTGCCTTTTCATGACTCGGCCACATGTTGCGCAAGCCAACTCAACGATTCCCGCGACGTGCGTTGCTTGTACACCGAGGGTGTGAATAAAAAAAGATGAAAGCAGGCTAAGCGATGACATTGTCAAGAGGAATGAAGTCCCTCACTTCGAACCTGGCGTCGGATGGTGTTTTCTGACTGCCTGGATTGGGACCGAAGGATGATGAACACTTGGTTGTGTACACTAGACGACATTACGAAGAGTCAACTCCAGTGGCATTTGTGTTGTGAATCTTTATCCCTTCCCGTCACTTTAGCTCCCTCCCCCAATAACGAACACAAATGTGATGTTGGCATTTGTACTTTTTTATAGCCTTTAAGTCTACATTGAGTAACGCCTTACATTCTTGTATTGCGGCACATTAGCTGAGTTGTTTTTCTCACCCTCGGCTAACATGTATTGAGGATGACACAGTTTGCCTTCTCACCTTCTGTGTTGACTGTGGTTGACTCAAGAACATAAAAAACAGAACAATGGCGACGAAGTTCTAAAAGGAATCCAACAGACATTTTCAACTGAGGATTTTAAAACAATCTTCTAGTAACAACGAGCGCGGTTCGAGCAATCTCATTCAAACTCTTGTTCAGTCCGTAGCACTATAAACAGTTTCATCAACAAGTAACAGCTTGGTATCCTCAGCTAATGTCAGTGCAGCTTCTATCTCAGGGTTTTACTACGAGCCTACATCCGGTGTCACGTTTGACTCGTGGTACAAGCGCTATAAAGATACATATGAGAATGAGTTTACGGATAAAGACGACTATTAATCCGGAAACTCGGAAGCGTCCAGCCCGATCGTCTCGTTAACTTCATTCTCCCGAAGCAATCCAGAGATCTTGAATTTGTGCAAACAGTGGAACAAATAAGCGAGATTTTCGGAGATTAGCTTTCGATGTTCAATGTCCGATACCACTGTCTCCAGCTGGAGAAGTGTGACGCAGATGTCATTTAAGCAGGCATCCTAAAGAGTGAGTACGGGAAATTCCAATTACAGACGGGAGTTGTTAATCGATAAACTTGCATTATCAATCACTAATCAACATGTACGGAATGCATCTGACAGTAGAAAGGGAAAGGCAGCAGCAGTACGCCGGTACTGCGTACCGGCGCATCGCTGCCGCGCAACTACCATCGGTCGCACATGGGCTAAGGGTACTGCGAGGGTCGCCCTGCCCCTACGCAGACTCGAACCCGCGCTGTCAGATTACAAGACAAGCTCGTTACCTTTAGGCTACAGGCCGCGCACCTGGTAGTACTTTACGGTTGAGTGTATTTAACAGTGTGTAGTTGTCAGGAAGTTGCTGTATCACCGACTGTCCCAATCTAAACTTACTTGGACTTGAGTGGATTTGGACTTCTCGATGTCCCGCTTTCACCCCAATGCAAAAGTATGCAGTTGACAACTCCAGATTACAGAGCAAATTACAAGTGAGCTTAAGTTTTGTACAGGTTTTTCAGGACAGTCGCGGTTGCTGCACTAAGTTCAAGGCCAGTCTCTAACTACAATCAGATTGTATACCAGATTTTAGACCGAAACGTCAAGTACTATATGTCGCTCAAGCAACCGTAGAGCCTGTTAGTTATTCATCATGGGTAACTCCTATTGTTGTCGTTAAAAAAGGAAAATGGCAAAGTACGCATATGTGCTGATTACTCGACTGGACTTAACTCCGTGTCAGACTCACATCAATATCCACTCCCAGTTTCAGATGATTTGTTCACGAAGCTCAATGGTGGCAAATGTTTGACGAAACTGGATCTTGCCGATGCATATCATCAAAGAGAAGTCATGGAGGATTACAAAGAGCTCCCGACAATTAATACGCACCACAGATTATTCCAATTAAACCGTTTACCATTTGGTGCAAGATCAGCACCAGCAATATTCCAACAAATAATGGATTCCATACTGACTAGGTTATCAAAAGTAGCTTCTTATCTTGATGACGGTGTCACCATGGGCTGCAGTCAGAAAGTAGTTTCATCGTCTACATTACGTACTCGATCGAATGCAACAGTAGGGCTTTCGCTTTGGCGCAGAAAAATGTGTATGCTTGCCAAGCACTATAAAATATCCCGAATTTATTTTCGACGAAAGTGGTCGCCACCTTGATCCAGAAACTATCTCTGCCATTCAAACAGATGGCTCCACGGACTGAGCTAGACAACCTACAATATTTTCTCGGATAGGTAAGCATGTACAGTACTTTCTTACCGGATATGTACAGAGACCCACTCAACCATCTTTTAAAAAAGGTGTGCTACGGAATTGATCAAAAGAATGTCAGTGCGCGTTTAACAAAGTTTTACCACTACTTGGCCCTGACTTGTTCCTCACACATTACAATCCCGCCTTGGACATAGTTGTCAATTCAGATACTTCCAATTATGGAAGCGCAGTCGTCATTTCCCAAATCTTCAAAGATGGATCAGAGAACAAGTACTCATACAGTCAGATCACTAACTGGCACTGGACGTAATTGTGCCGAGGTCGAAAAGGAAGCTTTAGTCATTATCTTCACGAGCAAGAAGTTTCACAAAATGCTTTGGGGACGTCATTTTGATCTCATAACGGATCACAAGCCTATTCTCGGACCCAAGAAAGGTGTACCAATTTACACAGCTAATCGGCCTCAATGATGGGCTAACGCCTCTGGTTTATGATTTTTCCATAAAATATCAGTCGACTGAAGATATTGGCCAGGCAGATGCTCTGTCGCGACTCATGTCAGTTGACCTGCAGCGTCCGGAAATCCTCCTATCTAGATGGTTGGGACTGAACCATTGCGAGTTAACTTAGAAGCTCCATCGTAGGTCGAGGACCGAAACGCAACCACCGCTCTTACTCCTTCTAGAGCTGACGGTTTGGATTCTTTCTCACCTGCACCATTTAAGGATGGTGGTGAAGTCCTCTAAAAATCACTGACCTCCCAGTTAAGTTGGGAAGGAAGAGACCATCTCGGCCAACTGGTGTTAATCAATCATAGTGGCAATGTAGAAGAAGCGCAGTTGCACCGAAAATGATAACCACAGGCGTAGTCGCCTGTAAAATCTCTCAGGAAAACTCATTATTACAATGGGAAGACGATTGGACCAATTGCGTGCAACAGAAACATCAAGACGTTTCAGAACTGTTTGCGTTAGGAACTTTCACGTCTACACAACGTACGTATTTATCTCCCCATTGGCTGGCGGAATTGAACTACGAATCAGGGTAACAGACCTAGCTGTCCCGAAACGCGAACATTCCTGGGTTGGACAACAAATATTCACTGGTTGCCACACTACTAGTTACCGTTAGGGTAGCTTGTTCTGTAAGACGCTTTTGTCTCCAAGCGTTGACTTCTGATTTCCGACT